CAGCCCTCTGAACATCTTGGTGGCCCTTCACTGGACTTGCTCTAGTCTGTTGATAACTCTCTTGTACAGATGTTTTAAATCCAGACACAATGTCCCAGATTCCATTTTGCAAGTACCAAACACCAGGGAATATTTGCTGCCCTTGACCTGTTGGCTCTACTAATGAGCTTTGTCTTCTTTTCCACAAGACAATAGTCCCAGCTCATGTTCAGCTGTTCAGCTTCATATCTGCTAGGATCTCAGGTGTTTTCCCATAAAGCACTTTTCTAGGCAGTATACCCAGCCTGAACTGTTGCATAAGGTTTTTCTGGTTCCAGGTGCAGGACTTCGCATTTCTCTGCCTTAGAACAGATCTTGTTAGATAACAACAAAGCAAAGAAGACACTAAATACATTAATCATATCTGTTGCTAGGTCTCCTTTCTCCTTCAGCAGCAGGCCTCTGTTTTCCTTGGTCTGACTTGCTGAAAATGTACATGTAGAAGTCCTTTTTGTTATCACTCACATTGCTTACTCATTTCAAAACTCAGCCTGTTTTGAAATGTCATGTAATTTAATCACTGTATGTCCAGTCCATGTTTCTGTAGTCCTCCCAAGTAGCCTATCCCAGCTTTCAACTTAGGTAGACTTCTTGGTATTTGAGCTGAGACAGGAGTTCCACATGCATTCACGTTGGCCTCTTGCTGTGCCTGCTCAACTTCCTGCACATCCAAATGGACTACTATGCTATAAGGACATCATTCTTGAAGACCAAACACATCACCTGGGCTGTTTTACCTCTTATGGCAGCCTCACCTGGTACCCAGACTACTAACTACTATAGCAGATTCTGACCATGGTGTCCCTATTGCCAGCCTCTCTGATTCCAGCTCTTAAGATCCTGACCAGTTCATTGCTCATTCAATACCAAAGTTTTAGTTCAAAGTACGCCTTGGTGTGGAGTGCAGCTATCGCCCCTGCCCACCTGTTCTCATTAGAGTCTCTATTCATCCATCACAAGCACCCCAGGCTAATCCCACTACATCTCTGTGATCCCAATGAAGTCACAGCATTCCAACTGTGTCCATGTCTTGTGCCTGTTTCCCACACTGTTTGCATCTGTGTCTTGGCACTTGAGATGGGTCCCTAGTAGCACCACTTTCTGGTGGGAGTGTTTTTCCCAGACACTTTTTTCCCTAGTCCCCATTTTTGACTCCAGGCCCAAGCTAAAATTGCTTGAAGCTCTTCTCATGAGGTCAGCAAATTTATTGCTTAAGATGTCACCCATTTTTTTCTGTTAGATCACATCTCTCCCCAGATGCCATCCATCCTCAAAGAGGATTCAGTGGCTGTAAAAGCCTAAGACCTGCCTGTCTGACTGCAACAGCTGTTCAGCCAGGTGTTGACCTGTGGGAGGCATCTGCTTCTAACCAAGCCTTTCTCCTTGACTGCAGGGTCCAGAATTTTACATGTCTTTTATTTCTAGGATAAAAAGAAAGCTTTCAGAATGACATTCCAGTGTGAATTTATCTAATTAAGGATGAGTGGCTTAAATAAAGTAGGTATTGCTTACATTTTATGTACTTTCACTTAATTTACTTAATTGACTTGGGTGAAAGTAATAAATTTACAAAGAGTAACAGCATTCCTTAATGACAACTTCAAAAAAAAGCATTTGAGTAAGGCAGTTGATTTTATTTTTTAAAAAAGAATTTATGTTTGTAAACTGATCAAAGACAAACAACTACAAGTAGAACTTCTTGAATTTTCTCTGGCTAAAACCAGGTAAAAGAAATCAAAATAAGGTAAAAAGTATTAAAAGGTTTTTGTTTAGAACTTTATTTGGAATAAGGAGAAAACCTCCTTCCCTCTGAAGTTCTTGGTCTTGCAACTGCTAACGATCAAAGATATAGTTGTTTTAATAAGCTAATACTAAGTTATAAACTGATAACTAAGTTTTAGAAAGTAAACTTACTTAATTGTGCAGCTATATAATTTCACGCAGACTTTTAGACTGCTTCTTCTATCCCTTAACAAAAAAAGAAGGAAGGTAGGCTCATTAAAAATAAAAAGGACAAAAAAGCGACATTAAAGATTTTACTTCTCACAATAATGGAAACAGTATATTGGATCATTAATAAGGAAAAAAATGTTTTAAAGACCATGTGTCTGGAGAAGTGAGTAACCCAAACCAAATCAACCCTTGCCAGTAAATTAATTTTGCTGGTTTAAATAGGCTTATTCCAATAGTAGAAAATTCTCCTCTTCCAACGGTGCCATCTTCCTTGCCAGGTCTCCCTCTTTCCATCACCTCCACGAATCAAGAGAATTCCTTCCCTCCTTTCCCAGCTCCCTTCTCTTCATCAATGTGCAGTAATGCCACAGTCTCCCTTTCTTTCTTTGCCTGGTGCACCCTGCATTCCAGATACTTGTCCCATCTAACCATGCTCAGATGTATCCACAGGAGGAGTAATCCCCTTCTTTTCCCAGAAGTTCCTCTATATAAAAAAAAATAATGTGCAGAACATTCTTTGACTTATTTAAATGCCAAATAATAATCAGAATAATAAATAGCAATATAATATAAAAAAACCCCAACAACTGTAATCCTATCCACTAGATCTAAGAGGAAGAAAGGGTAGCTGAAACATAACAGGGATCAACTTAAAGCTGCAAATTATCTTGCTTACCTTATGTGGCGGATTAACCTAGGCTGGCTGCCAGATGCCCACCCACCCAGCTGCTCTCTCACTCACCCTCTTCAGCAG